TTAAGAGTAGCAGAGTAGTGTATTACAGATAAAAGTGGAGAGGATACAGATATGGATACATCTTCCTCATACTCTCATGTGATATAGCGACATTTGTGTGTGGCAGATTGTAGAGACAATACTGAGAGTTCAGCAAGAAACAGTGGCATTGAGGCAGATAAATGGTTTGCTATAGTTTTATGGTTTCATGTTATTTATGATGAGATGCCATTCAGTTTCTTTTGAGCTGAAGGATTTATCTACTGCAGAAACCCTGCTCATGTTGATAGAAATGATCTAAGGCTTCAAAGGACAGGTGTTTAGTTTCAGATTTAGACTCTAAAATCCAAGCCTGAATTGCTTATTGGTTTGGGGAAGGAAACACTTAATTTGAAATTCTGATATAAACTGTATGGCAGCAAACTTAGTTGAGCCTAGAAACAGCTTTGAATCTCAGATACCAATACGCTGGCTCTTGCATTACTTATTTATGGAAGAAAAAAAAGGCAACACTTGGTCTCTAACCAGGAGAAAAGCCTATTGGAAGTATTTCAGTCATTCTCAGCAGGTCAGTCCTCAGTAGTTCTTAGAGATCACAATATTTAAAGCTGTCTGGGTAGTTCTGGTCTCATGTCATCCAAACAGCACATTTTCAAACTCAGAAATGCCAGATCGTGTTATTTCTGTAGCAGAGGGTTGCTTAGGATCTGTGACAGCTGAGATTTTCCTATCGATTATGTGACAATGCAGTTCATCTATAGAGTTTAGAGAAATTTGAAAAGCCTCCAGTGTAACAAGAAGACCCTTAATTCAAGTGCTGTGTTGTATTTAAATGCAGAAATCAAAATTCAAGTTAGAGAAATGGAAGTGTGAATTAAATTTTGAACCCAAACTTCTGTAGTTAAATCAACCTCCTAGGAGGGCTGTGACTAATAATTTAATTTGAAGTGTTACGATCGGGTAACTGGATTTGTAAACTAGGCAAGAAATCATATCTTATATAATAAATGCATATTTGGATCCATGTATGTGTTTAAAATTGCTCCTAAATTTAAAGCACGGAGTGAGTCTAAAACAGGAAAGACAAATCAAAAAGCACTCTTGTGACTGTGTGTGTGCTGGAGGACAGACAGATGTGGGTGATTATAGAAGCACTAACCTGCAAACACCTTGAAAGATGTCTTTCAGATGTGTCTTAAGTTCTTAACTGATATAATATGCATTCATTTTTCAAATGCATTCACAGGTAAAAATGTTATTTTTTATATTGTTAATTCTTTATCTGTCACAGAAAATGTACAGGTATATGGAAGTAACTAGATGTCTAATACATTCCAGGGGCCCAGGATTTCAATCAAAAGCAAACCTGGGTAATGTGACTGTAAATCAAGGGTGCTTGAGACCATAGAAACACAAACCCAGAAGGGTTAACTGGAGGAGAGGGAAGAGAGAAGCTCCTCTGTGCAGTTTATGTGAGTGACAGGAAGAAAGGGAGCAAGAGCTAGAGCAAGCAAGCAGGCGCCCTGCAGTCCTCACACTGAAGGCATTCCCTTGTTGTGGGGGGACACATTGGGAAAACTGCAGCCTAGGCTGTGGCCTGCACCTTGCCCACCCAGCCAGCAGCTCTTCTTGCACCTGCTTATTTATTGCCTGAAAGTCATCCAGCATGTCGAAGGTGTGATTATTGACAATTTGTCAGCCTGAATTTGTTGCTGGCAATAACTTTTTTGTGAAGTTTCACTCTCAGGCGCTTGAGTTTTGGGATTAGAAAAGTGGTGATGGGACAGCATTATGCTATGGTCTGCTTTTCATTTAGACACAGCTCAGGCAGACAGAAGGAAACAGAGCATTAATCCAACTGCAGTCACCCCAAAGCACAGACCATTTGGATCCAGAAGAGAAACTGGTTCTTTCTACAAGCTCTCCCGTTCTCCCTGGGGCCCTTCACAGCCCTCTTTGTGGCTGTGCTTTCCCTGGTGAGCAATTATGTATAAGAAGTAGGGGGTCCTCCATATTCTGCCCAGCCACCCCCTTATCCTTTACAAAAGTTAATGTCTTGGACCTACAGTTCACTTGGGCAGCCTGGAACTGAGACTCTGAAGTTGTAAGTCTTTTGCTTTGTTTTGTTTGTTTGCTTTTTAGTTTTCTGTTTGTGGATATGGGTCCTGAATCAGCGCCCTCAAAGTTAAAACCTTTACCTTTTGGTCCAACCTCTTCCCTTCCTCTCATCAGGGGTAGGGGAAGATGGTGGCCAAAAAGTAGGCCTGTCCCTTGGATAGGGCAGCTGTGACAGCTGCTCCGGAGCAGCTGCCGTACCTCACTCTTATTTCCTGACAATCATTAAAATTCAATTTCAAAGTTTCTGTCTTTAACAATTTCCTAAGGGGCCTATGAAGGATGCCAAAAGGGTGGGCCTCCTTTCCAGTGGCAGTGCTTTGGCAGCAAGTAGATGCTGGTTAGGTTGCCGGAGGCTGTGCCCTTCTCACAATAGTCCTGTGGAGAGTGTCTAGAATGGAACACTGCAGGAACAGCTCTGGGAAAGTTTTAAGGTGGGCCAAGAAGTGGATAAGACCAGAGCTCTTCCCTTAATTAGCATTGCTCCTGAAGTACAGCCTTCCTGGTCCTGGGGTGGAGCTCAAGTACAAACCTAGGGGAAAGTTCTCATACTTTAATCTCATAATTCCTCATTTTCTTTTCTGTTCAGCTCACCGACTTCTCAAACCTTGATTCTAAAAAGAAAAATAGGCCGGGCTCAGTGGCTCACGCCTGTAATCCCAGCACTCTGGGAGGCCAAGGCAGGTGGATCACTTGAGGTCAGGAGTTCGAGACCAGCCTGGCCAACATGGTGAAACCCCATCTCTACTAAAAATACAAAAATCAGCTGGGTGTGGTGGTGCATGCCTGTAGTCCGAGCTACTCAGGAGGCTGAGGCAGGAGAATCGCTTGAACCCGGGAGGCGGAGTTGCAGTGAGCCGAGATCGCAGCACTGCACTCTAGCCTGGGCTACAGAGTGAGACTCGGTCTAAACAAAAAGAAAAAGAAAAAAAGATTTGTATATCTGAAAGTTCCCTTCTACCAAGAAGCTTTCCTTAACACCTCTTTTTCCTTTGGGTGGGGAAGTCTTCTATTGGGCCAAGGCAAGACAACTAAAATATTTTGAGAAATGGAAAAATACATGTGAATGTACAGCCTAGGTAGCTGTGCCTCATCTGCACATTTTGAGTGAAGGTTGCCCAGCAAATGCTATTCAAACTCACCCTCAGAGGAGTTTCTTATTCCCTGCTCCCAAAATTTAACATGTGATTAGTACCAAAATATGCCTCCCTTAACTAATAAATACCCTCTTGAATCTATGGAAAGGAAACGGCATTTCTTTGAAATTCTAGATGGGAGTTAAGGACTACCTGACTACTCTTGCCTTCACCTCTGAATCACGTATAACTATCTTGTTAAACACCCCCCTCCTTCCCTAGAGAGCCACTGATTGGCCCCTCAGCATACCTAGTACTTTTCCTTCTCTTCTCAAATTCTCATTCCTTACCCTTTTCTCTTTTGGAGTCCCCCAGTAAATTTTCAGAATTAAATCACGATTTTTTCGAAATGCCATGAGAAGTTAGAAAGGGAACTTTGAGACAGCACTAGAAATACACTAATAGAGAGTACTATTACAAGGCCGGGTGTGGTGGATCACGCCTGTAATCCCAACACTTTGGGAGGCCAAGGCAGGTGGATCACCTGAGGACAAGAGTTTAAGATCAGCCTGACCAACATGGAGAAACCTCGTCTGTACTACAAATACAAAAATTAGTTGGGCATGGTGGCATGCACCTGTAATCCTAGCTACTTGGGAGGCTGAGTGAGGAGAATTGCTTGAACCCAGGAAGCAGAGGCTGCAGCGAGCCGAAATCACACCACTACACTCCAGCCTGGGCAACAGAGCTAGACAGTGACTAAAAAAAAAAAAAAAGAAAAAAAAAGTACCATTACAACTGAATGCAGTAGACAAGTCACAGTTTGGGGTATCAGCAATTAATTGCACATTTTTATACCGTCTTTTTTTTTAACTTCATTTTTAAGATCCATTGATCCTAATAGATGTAAGTTAAACCTGAAGTAAATTAGAGTAACGTTAAAGAAAAATTAGATCAAGCCTTCCTGGACTGGCAGCCCTCCTATCTTACGTAGCTCATGGTTATTTGGATAGACTTTTTCATAATACTGGTAGCAGAGACAGACCAACACCAAAGCCCCACTTCTTGTTACTTAATTACAAACCTGGTAGAATGGGGACTCCATACCTACAGAAACTAGTCAGTGCTTATTAACCACAACAGATCAATAAAAACAATTAGCTGGAGAAATAATATTAACAACATGCCCTTGTTACCATAAGACATAAGTTCCTGAGAAATTTGAAGTTTCCAATAGCACATTTCTGCTTATGTGGTACCTAAAGTTGTTTCCTGGAAGTGAAATTTGAATCATTTGCAATCATTTTATATCCTTGCCCCAGAATGACTCTGTCTTAAAGGCTTTGAATATGTCTACTAGTATGGGCTTTTAATATTCTCTACCCTAGTGAAAAGACTACATATTATAGTAGAGAAGATACTAGGTTAGAAATGCCAGCCAGAATCTAGGTTCTAGTTCAGGCATCTAACTAGTATTTTGTGTGTAAGGCAGTTCATGCTTCTGGCCTTAAGATTTTGCATATGTAAAGTAAAAACATGAGACTAGACAATCTCTTAGATTCTTCAGCCCCCACATTCTGTACTTTTGTAACATATTTGTGAATTTTCAACCTAAGAGAAGAGCCAGATCCATAAATTTCTGAATAAAATACTTATTATTTCATAGTCCTTTTAGTAAAAATGTATGCAAAAGACTGAAAAAATGATTTTTGTTCTTCTCTGGGAGAGATTCTGAACTGGACTGGAGGAAACCAAGCTAAGAGACTTGACATTGTTTTCTTTTGTACAAATGAACCATTGCCTTATACTTTAACTTTTTTTCCTTTTCAGATCCAACTTAGAAATAATGTTTCATTCAAGATAAGGCTCGTGGTTTAGGAGATTGTGACCTGGCTTGCATCATTCTAAGACTTCTATCATCGGTTTTCAAAACCCAAGGAGGACCTCATTCTCTGTGTGATAGTTCCTCATGCTTTGCCAGCCACTGGGTCTTTAAGGAAGCTTGCCAAGAGTTCCCAGCTGGGAAGGACAGTTCGAGTTCATCATAGACAGTGAGCTGGCACCACAGTTTAAGTGACTCACCAACCTGGTTGTCCACTTCAAAATGTCAAGAACCACACTATCTAATTGAAAGAACTGTGTTTTAGCAAAGTGTAATTGGATCGCATGGCAAGATCATCTCAAACTATGTCTCTGACCTTGCCTTTCAGTGGCTGTTTGGAGCACAAGAGGAGAAAGGAAATGATTCCTGAATTACATATTGCTTTTAAAAATTAAGATTAATTAGTGGCCGGGCGCGGTGGCTCAAGCCTGTAATTCCAGCACTTTGGGAGGCCGAGACGGGCGGATCACGAGGTCAGGAGATCGAGACCATCCTGGCTAACACGGTGAAACCCCGTCTCTACTAAAAAATAAAAAAATAAAAAAAACTAGCCGGGCGAGGCGGCGGGCGTCTGTAGTCCCAGCTACTCGGGAGGCTGAGGCAGGAGAATGGCGTAAACCCGGGAGGCGGAGCTTGCAGTGAGCTGAGATCTGGCCACTGCACTCCAGCCTGGGTGACAGAGCAAGACTCCATCTCAAAAAAAAAAAAAAAAAAACAAATTAAGATTAATTTATAAATACTTGGTTTTATGTTCATTCCATTGTAGGAACTTAATGATTATTACAAAACAGTCAAAATAGGTCATAGCAAAATGAACATTTAAGATTAGGTTAAAACATTGCTCTGAAATTTTAGTATTCACTTTTGAAGCATCAATTACTATATTATATGAAAAATGATATTTGAATCAAAGACATTGTTTTTTCATATAGCCACTCCTTTCTAAAATGCAAATCCACCCTCCCCTCACCCATGCCTTATTATTTATACATACACACACCCACAGACACACACAGAGCCAGCACCCAAATGGTAGAGGAGGTCCTTTCAAGACTTCTAGGACCTGGATCATGTAAGTAGTAGATGAGAAAATGAAGTAAGAGGTATAGAGCAATAACAATAAAAGTCAATGATTTCATTTTACAAAAAGTCATTGTGTAGTACTCAGATATTTTTAAAAGCAAGTATTATTATGACTCAAGTATATCATACTTCTAAATTATGATTCTCATCTAATTTCAAGCCACATATAGGAGCCATTTGAAAGCATTTTGTATTACAACCTATCAACAAAAATCAACTAATAGTTTTATAATGTGCGTAAATTTACCCCATGGGGAATTAAAATTTTTATCTGCAAGTATTTCTATTGTTGTGAGACTTTAGGACAAGACAACATTTGGTATTAACATAGAAGAATATTCTATGGCTTTTTTAGCTTTAATGTTCATTACTCTAAAATAAAGTACACGTGGTATTTTTTTCTTCCTGGTGTTCTCTTACTATACATAGAGTATTTTCGTTTGTTGTTTTTAATGTATACATTATTTTTATTAAGTCATTTGGTAAAAGATAAAATATATACTAATAGACTCTTGCTTTTCTCCTAATTTAATTATTTCAAGTCAAGCACAATTGGGCACTTTTCTTTCAGGAAAAAAAAAATATTGAGCATGATTTTGAGGCAAAATGATTATTTACAGCATCTTTTCTCTAATAGACTAACATTTATGATGAGTCTTATTTCAAAGTTGATTATTCTCAAAGAAAAGTGGAGATATTAGAATTTCCAAGTAAATTGCATTGTTTTAAAGAGTACTTTAATGCATTGTTCACATTGTTGCCAGCTATTGATCAAAAAAGAGAAGAAAAAAGAAACAAAAAAAAGTAGTATCTGCTCCAAATGTCAAGTTTTGCAGTTTGAAAGACTTGTAAATTCTAATTTTTTTTTCTTTTTTGGAAAGCAGTAGTGATTAATACCAAAGGCATAGACAATTTAGGGCCATAACCTCCCTTCCCTTCCCCCCTCCCCATCTTTTTTTTTTTTTTTTTTTTTTACTTTAACCATGATAGGCATCTCTGCAAGGTAGGTTTTAACATATTTTTTTCCTAATTTTTTTCCCTCCATTCAGTAAGAAGGATAAGCTTTTAGAGTACCCAGTCACCGTGGTAACTGCCAAAAAAATTCTCCTGAAGTTTGAAGAGGTCAGCTGGCAGGGTCAACAACCCTGGCCTCTTTCTGAGCTCGGTCTAGCATGCCCCAGCCTGCGGTTGGAGTGTCAGGCCAGATCTGACCCTGGGAGGTGGACCATTCTGGCTCTGATATAAATTTTTTGAGTCAGTTCATGGCCTGGACTCTCCAGGTGGCCTCCAAAATCGATTTTGACCCCCTGACCCTGTCTCACGGAGGCATAGCATCCACCCTAAGTAAGGATTTAGCCAGGAATGACAGCTTTCCACTGAGTGTTATTGGGGACAGTATAAACAGTTTGGAAAGCAAGTAAGGAGGTGTGAGTGCTAGGAATCATTAAAAGCACATTAAAAAACAATTTTTAAAAATCTTTGTTAGAAAAAGTTTTAAATACATATCTGTTACAGAATTCCTGTGACTTGTAGAGTTTTCTAGTCCGTTTTGAATATAAATAGGTCACATATCTTTATCTCTTTGCATACTTTGTTACAAATATGTAAATAAGATAGGCATACTTGCTACAAAATAGGTACAGCAGGAATGTAATATGTTCAGAAAAGGCAAACTAGTTATTAAAACACATTAACAGGTAAGGAGTTTCTAATATTTTAAATACTAAAATTTTGCATGTGTGTTTTGAAGTGCTTAAAATGGAAAAATAAAGAACCTTTAAAAAACCCAACAGTGTGGAATAAAGATAAACTTGTTGCACTCAAGGTACATTTCTACTTTGTAAAGCAATAAGCCAATACACTCATTTGGATAAAAATGAGAGAAAAATTATAAATATAGAGAGTTACATCTCATAGAGCTAAAGAGGAATAAAACAAAAAAATAATGTCTCTGAATAACTTTATATATTTTCAACAGTTTAAGATATCAGAAACTTGGAAAATAAATATGATATGTATAAATCATCAGTGATTATTTCCTTTTCCTTTTTCCCCCCCCAGGATGCCACCCTGAATGTTTTATTTTCTCTAGGAAAGTAGAGTTCTCTTTGAGAGTTCTAGCCTATTATGAACTCAGTATGTAAATGTGGCCATCAAGAAGACAGAACTGCCAAGAGGAAAGATTATGAATGTTTTTCTTTCTTAAAACCATTCACAGTGTTTCTTCTTCCAGTGCTTTACTCAGAGTTCTCCCCTTTTCCCAGCTCTGTTGAAAATGGCTTCAAAAGCAACACTGCAGTGGCTAAACCAATTGTACTGTGAAGTTGTTGAGATGCCATTTCATCTGAATCCTTTGTAAAAATTAGATTTTTAAGTAGGGGTGAATATCCTTTTGGGAGAGGGAATGGGGAGGGTAGAAGAAGAGGGGGAAAGGACAGAGCAGTTTATATATATATATATACTCTTTGTGTTTGAAGGCCTCTGTGTCTTGGCTTCTCACTATGTTAAATCCCTATTATAAAACTTATCTTCACAAAGCCTATTATAGTATTCTGAGAACAAATTGGACCATGAATAACTTAGTTGGAAGTGTAGATTATTTTCTACTCAGGGGAAGTTAGAGATGACAACAGCTTAACTAAAAGAATAGTGATTAATCTTAAATAGATGGATTTCAAAGTTTCACTCTTGATAAAGAGTACCTTTGATATTTCCCCTCTTCAGAATCACATTTCCATTCTCTTTGTATTAAGAATTGTCCTAGTGATTACACTGTCCCCCTAATACAGCTCAAACTGTAGATCTTTTTTTTTCCAGGTTGTTAATCTGTCAGAGAGGTGACCAGAAAGACTCTCTACTTACTGTTGGTTAAATCGATGATTCCAAAGTGGTACTAGGCTTAGATACAAAAGTCAGTGATAAGAATATCTTGCATAAATCATAGCTTCTCACTTAGATAAAATTCTTATTTAAAAATTTTTCATTCGCTTAATGCCCTGTAGCTTACAAAGCACTTTTTAAATCATAATTTTGTTTAATCCTTAGAATACTGTTATAAGATAAACAAAACTCATCAATCCCATTTTACCTGTGATTGCACACTGTGATTGAGCTAATAAATGGAAGAACTGAGATACCAACTCAGATTTTGTAGCTTCTGTTTCAAGTGATTGACCTGTAGCAATAGGCTTTTGAATTGCTTTTGTGTTCTATATCCCTGAAGATCAAGATTTTGTATTAGAGAGCAAAGATTTTATATCTCACAAATTAAAAACTTAAAAGACATGACTGAAAATAATTCTATTTACTTAAAAGTGAATTTTACCAGTTATTGTTTTTCTTGCTATATATATGCTTAAATGTTCTTTCAGCACTGACAGTTTTAATTTCCAAAAGTTAAACATGGGAAGCTCTATATAAATTAAATAACTACCTGGAATTTAAACCATGTATACAAAAACATGATTCTACATTTCAAAATAAAATATAGCATAAGACTTTAGAAGCAGGTTCTGCATATTAAGAAATTATTTGAGAATATGCCATTGATAAAGCTCTTGAGTTTTAGGTTTCCCTTCAATTTTAAAAAACTTTTTAAATCTTTTAACATCTTAGCAAGTCTGGATAAGCAAAGTTATATAGACCTACTTTTGTTCTCTTAGGCTTTTACTTTTTGTGTTAAAAAAAAAGGTTTGCAAAATACTCTCGGAATAATAGTAAAAGGATTAGTTAACTTGATATTAATGTAACCTATCTAAACATTACAGAAATCAAGAATTACAAATAGATGACATTATTTTATTCTTCTTAGGTTTCTAATTATATCGCTTTAAACATGTAATGCGGGCAGTGTGGATGTTAATATGGAAATTCTTATTTTTTATTTCTTAAATTATATAAAATAAAATTAGTCATTTTATATATACTTAAATTAATGCTTTTGCCCTTGAATTATTCTGGCAGCCAGAAAAATCTAGTTAAACTTGTTAGCATTAGACAAAATGAAAAACTGTACAGAAAAAGAAAAGCAACGGTTCTGGTATCAATAATGACATATTATAACCTTTTTTTGTACTAAAGTTTTTCTACAAAAACATAACATTAGACTGAAGATTGTTCATTTTAATGTGCAGGTTAATGTTCAAGTCACCAAATACAAACTTCTAGTGTCTCCTCTACTTATGTGCAAATTACGAAATGCAAAAATAAGGTATCTTATACTGATAGCTATGTTTGTTTAGATATTCTTTGAAATTTTATAATTTCTTATATTACCAATCTCATTCATTTTGTTCATGTGTGTCTTTAACAGCTGTTCAAAACAGGTTTTCTTCCCT